CGCATTGAATGCGAACGGCTGTACTGTTATTGAAAGTCGTTTCGAGGCACACAGTTGGCATTGGAAACACACGAAACCGTCATGTCGCGCAAATCTCCATATGAACTCGCCTCGTTAAAAGGAATTCAGACTCACCAGTTCGAATATGAACTCACCTCGTCAAAAGGAATTCAGCCTCGGCCAGTTCGAATATGAACTAGCCTCGTCAAAAGGAATTCAGTTTCGCCAGTTCGAATATTAACTCGCCTCGTCAAAAGGAATTCGGCCTTGCCAGTTCGAACATGAACTCGCCTCGTCAAAAGGAATTCAGTCTTGCCAGTTCGAATATGAACTCGCCTCGTCAAAATGAATTCAACCTCTACCAGTTCGAATGTGAACTCGCCTCGTACCAAAAGAATTCAGAATTGGCAGTTCGAATATGAACTCGCCTTGCTTCAGCTCCAAAAGAACTTTAGTTTTACAGGCAACTTTCTTAACCTTACGCTTCACACTCCTTGAATTCCACGCACAGTATGAATATCTCTGCCTGGACTTTAGGGACTGATGTGAAGTATAAAAAATTAAAACTTTTTCTGACTTATTGAAAGCCCACGCATGGCATAAATGACCACACATGGACTTAGGGGACTATTGTTACGAGTCATAAACCGGGAGCAACACGTGGCACCACGGTTCGGTGGACATGCACTATCTGAGGCCCCTTTGTTGCAGCTAGTGGAGATCCACGCGGAAAGATATAGCAATGATGAAGATCTTTATTTCAAATGATTGACGTGACTTTTGTAAAGTGCATTTGTGTCTTGTCTTCTCAATGTAAGAGCATTTAATGCTTTGTAAGGCTAGGAGAGTCAACTTGATAGTTAGGATTTGATGTCTTGGCCGAGGAGATGAGGCCACGTGTAACTTGATCCAAAGGCCACCATTTGATTTGTAACACTATAAATACCCCCACCATGTAACACAAAATGGCTAATGCAAATTCTGGATGAAATTCTAACTACTTGGAGCTATATTATTCTCTCGTTTTATCAGCACATTTCAAATACAAATCTTGTTCTTTATCGATTGGATTCTTATACAATCGTGTTCTAGTTATCTCGCCGGAGGTCCAAACGGAGACGTCTCGTGTCGTTGAGCTCCTCCCACGTTCAGATTCTGGAGATATTCTGACTGTAGATCGGCACTAACGTGCTAGATTTAGCTTACGTGTACACGAGTGGACTCGGCATCTATTGGCAACATTTTTGGNCATTTTTTGGGGTCAACACATTTTTTCTTTTTCGGTCAAATTTTTTTCAATCCATTCAGTACATTAGTCAATTTTGCATGTCTGAATCTTAGACATGTGAAGCAGAAACTGAAGCGATCTTTTTATACAGTGCATGTTTTTGTGTAAGAAAGAAACAAAATTTGTCGATTTTTGCAGGTTTTGAGACGTCGATTCATTCTATTATCACATTTGTATGGTAGTCGTTTGACTTCGGTTATTTGAGATTATAGTTAAAAATGAAGATTTTTTTTTTGAATTTACATGTAATATTATTTTTTGAAAAAATGTATGATTGATAAGATGAGGGAGGAAAATGAATTATAATTTTAAATATTCATGACTTTATCTCTGCATTAACGCCATGCAAGCATTTTTGGGATGAAAAATGTAAGTTTCTCCAAACAAAACGGTACGATACATAATTATTTTTTCTTAAAATGACATTAGTTAATCGAGGTGTTGTGAAATATTAGTAAAATGCAGATCAAAGGTTTGTACACAGCAAAGCTGCCGCCAAAGGTTTCACGTTTTGTCTTCATTGGGAAGACATCCCATTTCCAATTTCTGTGATTATTACTTACAGAACATCCTATTCCACCAACACAATGTGATTATTCAATCCTCACCGTTCATCTCTTTTCTCCTCGATTGCGTATTTCATCATCTAAACTATGGCAACTCTCAGCTAACACTGACTTGTACTGCCACAGTCATATGGGCATAATAGCTTGATGGTTGTGTTAACTTCGAGAATTATAAATAATCATTATAGATAATATTAAAAACGCTACTTATCTTTACGACGATATCAAAAACACTTTTTTTCAAAATAATAATAATAATATTAACTTTCTCTATTTTTAAATTTAAATATATGTGTTTTATGCACTTATTCAGACTTTAAAATATTGACATTTCGTTTTTTAATAAATTATAGCCTAATCTTGTGTATATTTCGTTTATTAGGAGAAACTCGATGATTGGACATGAAATTAGAATGAATTGAGTGAAAAATGGCGAAATTCAAAATTTGAGGATCAAATTGCAAATATCCAAAAGTTGATTCGAACCACACAATATTACTTGAAGATTGCTAATACTCAATTGAACATAATTAAAGATCAAAAGAGAATGAAATATGATCAAAGTATTATCAGAAATCAATTTCTAACCGCACAAATTACAGTTTAATTTTTTAGCCAAAGATTGAGATCTATTTTTGGCATAATAACCATTTGAATTGAAAAATAATAATAATCTGTTTTTAGCCCTTTGAATTATCTTTCCACGCACTTTGAATCACTTTAGTCGGATATCAAAAGAAAAAGTTATGATAGAAATATTGACGACTGTGCAAAGACAACGCACGTGAAGAAAACTTTCTTTATTCAATTGGACTCTTTTGAAAATCAATTTGGACGTGATTTTCAACCAATTTTCTACTCCTACAAATATCAAACATCAGAATACATTATATACACCTCTCATACATATCTCATACCCCAAAATTCATCAATTAACATCATA